CCCCAAAACCCCAAAACCCCAAAACCCCAAAACCCCTGGCATGTGGGATATATTGAAGATATCTCTCTTTCTAAAAATTAGATGCTTCGTTAGTGAGAGGATTATACTGTCTTCTACTTTTGTGGATCTCGTGACGATTAGTGTTGACCATAGTAGCGGGATTAACATATTTTCCATACTCGTTATTATTTCTATTAAAAATATGACTTTCTACTTCAAAATGCTCAGATGCTATTTTAGTGGCTGGAGCAAGACCTTTGCTTCTTCTAAGGTGAAGGTTCTCATAGAAGTCTCTTCCCTCTTCGTATCCTTGGTCAAGCTTTGGCTTATAAGCTTGCTCTATAAAGGAGTTAAATTTAAGGATTTAGATTCTAATAATATACCTGAATACATTGCTCCGATACTCTGTGCATCAAGGTTTGGGTATGACGGAATGCTGGCCTTTGAATGACTTAAGGCAACCTCTTTAGAAGGCTCCTTGTGAGAAGGTTGATTCTGAGGTTGAACCCCAGCAGGCCCTGGTGGGCTCATATTCTGATATCTATCTTGAGAAATCTGTGGCTTTTGCTCTATCGGAGTTTGCAAATAAAATTTTGCAGCATCCTCTTTTAATGTCTCTTCATTCTTAAGGGCTAGGTCCTCTTCTAGCCTTGCAAAGGTGTCATCAAGATCCTTTTTAGACTTTTGAGGTTTATTTGATCATCCTTTTAGTTGACCTTGATGAGTAATATGCTTGAGAGGGTAAAATTCGAGCATCTGTCGTTTGAGGGACCATTCCATGTGGATTTTCAAAGCTTATTTTGTTAAAATCATATTTATATGATGAAGGATTAAATAACTCTGACTCTCTATGGGGTTAATAGAATTTCTTACTTAAAACTCTTCTGCCACTGGCTATCAATTTCAGTTTTAGTTGGACCAAAGTTAGGCATAGATCCATTATTTTGTTAACTTTCTGTATGATTTAGACCCTGTATAGCCTGGGATCTTAGCAGGGGCTGCTCCATCAATATCGGCTCACTCCATTGAATTCCTGAGATGGGAATGCCCTGGCATAGTCATAGTTTTATGACTCTCAACATCAAGCGAATCATAATGTTGGCTCTTAGGTTGTAGGTAATAAGTCATTTTATTTATTTCTATACTTTCTGTTATTTAAGGGGTTTTGGGGTTTTGGGGTTTTGGGGTTTTGGGG